CTGTTGATTTAGGAACGAGAACTGTGTAGACTAGTGGAAACTTGCATTTTGTCAGATAAAACCTAACAAGGAACTCCTGATTTCGAAAAGAAAATCTCCTGATTTTACTCGTGATTTTGAAAAAAATTCTCCTGACGAAATCCTGATTTTCAAAAGAAGAACTACTGTTTTTTGAAATTATGATTTGGCATCCCTGATTAGGGTATACAAAAAGTAGTGAATGTGATACAAAAACCAAATATATAAATAAATAGGTCGTGTATCATCTTCAACGTCTTATATCGACTTTCACAATATCATTTCAATCATCTTTCAATTGTTCTAAAGAGAAAAAACTTCATCACCATAAACAGAGTATAATTCAATCATGAATAATTCTTGTTTGAATATTAAATCGAGCGCGCTTTTTTTCAATGTAGAAGTAAATATTTTCTTTATTTATGTAAAATAGGAATAAATAGTGTTATAATTTAATCTAACTTTATTTTTTAATTTTCTTTAGTACACACTAATAAATTACAGATACGAACAAGACATGCATCTATGTATAAATAGACATATGGAGACCATTAAGTACTTAAAGAAACGCAAAAAACGAACAAAGACAAAAGAGAAAAAAAACAAAAAGAATAGTACATATCAAAGACAATATGAAATAATGTCATTGTCACAAGTCTTAATGAAATTTTTATTATTATGATATTCGTGGAAGAAAGATAGAATGGTACAGAAAAATAAAGCGTCATTTTTAATGTTGGTTCACATAGAGAGGAAGCTTTTAATAAGGAATTAAAATATCTTCGTCACTATTTTTCAATTATCCTAAGTATTTAGTTTTTTCAAGTTATCATTTAACAACGCATAATTTTTTCTAGACCATTAAATTAATATTACATCTCTTTAAATTACAACAATGAGCACATCGAATGTGACTATAGTAGAAGAATAGATGTTTATTATACGAATAAAAATTCCATAGAAAAATAAAAATTTTTGATAGAATCGTTTGAGTATATTTTTTAATTGAGTAAATCTGTGATTTTTTTTTTTCGAAAAAAAAAAACGTTTTTGTGTTGGTTAGATGAAGAATAGTCCGAAAACAATATTGATAAAATAAATTTTCTAAGTTATTTTTGAAATTCATATTCTTATTCATAAGCAGAATGTTATTAATATTATAAAAACATTGAAAATGCCTATATTTCAAAACATTCATATCTCAATAAGAAAAAAAAATCTCAGAATCCTTTAAAACCTATTCTAATCTAGTATTACTCATATTATAAGGTACGAAATTTTCAAAATTCCTTGTCATACTTTCTATAGAATTTTCTAGAAAAACTCTACAAATCTTCGTAATTTCCTTCAAAAGTTATCAAATTTCTTTCATCAAAACTCTTTTCAGAACATTTCTCATCTAAATAACATGCAAACAAAAAAATTTTTTTTTTCTTAAGAAATTGTTTGATAATATTTCACATGATATCAATAGCATTAAATTTAGAGCTATTACTTGGTCATTAACAGGGTTTTATAGTCAACAATATTAACTAACGAACGTGATCAATGAACCATACAAGGACTTTTATCAATAAATGTTATGTAAGAGTCTATTTAATAAAAACTCAAACAGTCCTATCAGTACTTTGTATCTTCCTTTGAAAGTTTTTTTCTTTTTATAATAAGTATCTAGTCTTCATATTGCTTTGCTAGGCTACGGAAAGAAAATAGTGATTAGTAATCAATTTTGTTTTGATAATATGTACAAATAATATAGTTTTTCTTCTACAAGTACATAAAATTATAATGAAATTTTTTTAACGTCTTTTTAATTTGGTGAATAAATTAGATAAAACACTTCTTTGTTCACCTCGATCAATTTTATTGTTATTATTAATTACATTAGATGTTGATTTAATGGTTTCATGTCGTAATACATCAGGATTAGTACGTTTGTAATCATTAAAATTTTGAACAACTAAAGTAACTTGATTGTTTTCTTTCATAATTTGAAGAAAAGTTGATTGAGAAATTGTTTCTATTGCTTGATTATTTATTTTTCGTATAACATCATTTTCATGAAGATCACTATATTGAGCTGGACTATGAGATTCAATATGATGAGCTAAATAATATCCTTTATTAAATTTTACATGAAAACCAAATCCTTGAAAATTTGGTGAACGATATAAATGTACTACACGTAAACCTTCATTATTAATTGATTGTGATGTTTTATTGAGTTCTAATATTGTTTGTTGTTTTTCATCAATACTATCATGATGATCATTAACTAATAATTAAAATATAATAGATTAACAAAATAAATTCTAAACTAACCTATTTCATTTTTAGAAAATTGTTGATGATTAATTTTTCTTTGAATATTTGATAAAGACTTATTTTCTTGTGTTTCATCATTTTTAGTAGATACTTGTGAATTACGTAGAATTACATGAGATGTACCCATACTTGGTACAACTCGACGTGGAGATGATGATGAAATATTTTCTTTTAGTTTATCATCAGTTAAAGTTTGAGTTTGTTTTGTTTTATAATGTTTTCGTTTTTGATGACGATGATGAGATCGAACTGAATATTGATCAGGTATAAGCGTATATTTATTATTATTCCATGATGATACGGGAATAATTTTTAAATTGTCATTATAAACTAATCTTGTTATATAACTGAAATCAAGACGAATATAATTAAGTAAAAATTATTTACTACTTAAAAAAAAAAAAATACCTTTCAAGATTACGATCAATATCTTGATTTTGGTTTGATGAATATCGATAATAACTATTATAGAAATTATTAGTTGACGATTCATCAATAAATTCAAGTATATTCGATGGTTGAATAGTAAGTGTTAAAGTTTGAACATGTCTTGCAATTTTTAAAACAGTTTCTCTTGGATTTCTAGATATTTGTGATACTAATTGTCCATTAACAGCTAAAACACGATCACCAGGTTGTATATTAGCTTCAGCTGCTGGTGAATTAGGTTCTATAGTGATTATATAAATACCAGAAGGTATATCATCACCAAAATGTAGACCAAAAAACTGTTGATCTGAACGTTTATGAAGAACAACTGTACGTTGTATAGGTGTCATGATGATATGTTTCTTCTTCTCAGGTAGTATCATAATATTTATTGCTGATATATTTATTTAAAATAGTTGCTATTCAATGCATGCATGATTGATTGACATTTTTTTCCTCTTTTTTTTTTCGGTTTTTCTTGTTGTTGTTTATTACGTTTTTTAAACATTCGTTTTTCATATTTATAGTTAGATATCAACAAGCATTCAATGGATTAAAAAAAAAAAAGAAATGAAGCTTTAGATTACGACACAAGATATATATATATATATAAATAATATTTATATCGCTGAGAAATGTAATAAAATAAACATCATGTATGAGTATCAATGAAAAAAAAAAAACCATGAAAATGAAAGGTAACAAAAAATAAAATGAGCGTATGATTCAAGAAATAATTGAAACTTTAGTGTATATACACAAACATGCAGAATTCAGTTTATTGTAGAAAGACTGAATATTGTTTTTCTCAAAATTCTATTGGTCTAGTACTATAACTATTAATTACGGTGAATATGTAATATTTGATAGAGAAGAACTGAAATAGTCAATTATTTTATCTATTCAGTTGTAAAAAGAAAAATTTTTAATTGTTTCAGATAAATACATTTTAAAATTAGAACTTGACATAGGACAGGATGGTCATTTGTTCTGTGCCTAATTCTGATATAAATATGAATAATCAATAGATTAAAAATGGTATTTCATGAAAAAAATTAAACGTCATATAGATAATCTTGGTAAACGATATTATGATGAAATATTTAGATGTTTAATCATTTGTTAAACAGCAAAGTGTGACTAATATTTCTTTCTTTTGACTTTTGCATGATTTTAGTATTATGCCAAAAATTATCTCTTGTTAGTTGAAAACTTTTGATATTTTTCCTTTTGATCTTCCTATGACCAGTATACAATGTTTTTATTTATTTATTTACAATGCATTTACATTGAGTGATCATAAATAAATAATAGAAAATATTAGTTTAATTATTAATGAAGACCAATACTTGTGTTTAGTCAATATTCATTCAAAAAAAAAAACCCGGTATTTCATTCTTAAATAAAAATTGATTTTTATCGAGTTGTCTTTTTTTTTTTTGTTCGTTTTATATTTATTATGGAAATAAATCTTAGCGACAACTCAACGCCTAGATTTGAACATATAAAAAAAAATCCACTATTGAACATCTGTTGCTTGTAATACGATCATTGTATATTCTTTTTCTAAAAGAATAGAAAATAAATTTATCGAAAATTTTTCTTTTAATACATACCAGGTGCAACAAGAATTTCATGTTTTTTCGTACGCATTCGAAAAAAGACAAGTTCATTTGCTGGATCGATTTCACGAATTGTTGACCTAGCTTTATCAGACAATGATTTAATTAATGCTGCATATTGTTGTGTTAATGATGCATCTAAACTTGAACGTATTGGAATACCTGAAAAACAAGAGAGAGAAAGAGTTAAAAAGAAAATATTTTTAATTATAAATAAATATCTCAAACTATTCTAATTTTATCGAGTTTTTACATGATTTTTATTTTGAATTGTGTGGATAATCATGAAGACATTTTAAAATTCAGGTATTTAGCTTCTTGGATCAATTCTTTCATTCATATATAGATCAACTATAACCAATTCCGAAATCCTTTCGATTTCTTTTTATTAACTAGAGATATTAATTCATCGTTGACGACAAGAATTTTGACGAGAAAAAAAAATTATATAAAAGTTAAATCTAAATTAAGAAAAACTCGCTCAACAAAAGTCATTCATTATCATTTACGATTATCTACAAAATGTTATTAGATTTTTTATAATGCAAAAAATCTCTAATATACTTCGTTGAAAAGAATTAAGATTCGAAATTTTATTTTGAATTTTACTCTTAAACTTACCATCATTATTTATAATTAAATAACCTTGAACACCTTTATGTTCGTGAATTCGTTTCAATGTATCATCAACTTCCGCCTTGAATATAAAAAGATAATTAACAAAAATATATACATGTTTAATTTTTATAAACCTGTGTCATTTGAAATATATTAATTAAATCTATAAAAAAAAGAAAAAAAAACAGGCATATATAAATTGAGTTCTTATTTATGAGATTACAATTATTAAAAAACAAACGGACGGAAAAATAAGGCAAGAAAAAAAAAAAATTATTAAAGTTTATGCTTGTTCATTAGCTTGTAAAACGATTGTTAGATAGTCTTTATCTAAATACACAAAATAAATTCTTAATAAGAAAAAAAAAAGCTTTTTTTGTTTTTGAATTTTACCAGGTGCAACAAGAATTTCTTGTTTTTTTGTACGAATACGTAAAAATGTTAAATCATTTTGTGGATCTAAATCTCTAACACAACTTTTTGCTTTATCCGAAAGTGTTCGAATAAGACTTGTTAATGACATTGTTGTTGAATTATCAATTGTTGAACGAACAAAACTACCTTTTATTATGAATAAAAAATAATAATAATAATAATTTTTTTTTTATAAATTAAAAAAAAAAAAGGAATTAAATTACCATCATTGCTCGTTAAAATAAAACCTTGAACACCTTTATGAGTTTGAATTCGTTTTATTGTTTCTTCAATTTCAGCTTGTTGTGATGATGCTAATGTTGCTGTTGAAGACATATTTTCTTTTTATGACAGCTGTTGCACACACTGACAGAGACACTCAACTAACAAAATCGATAGACTAATGGAAACTATGACGACTGTATGGTATTTATGGGATGTCAGTGACACCATGGAGAACAATCATTGAAGAGGTTAATAGAGAACATGTATGGCAAATAGAAGACCAATCATAAAATATAATATTTATCTTAAAATATGATAAAAAATATATTTTTGTTTTGGATAATATTTATTATTCAAATAGAAAATTAAAAAGAAGGACTATGAGACTAGATTTTGATAAAATAAAACTGAATGAATCTTAATTTTTTAATTATTATCTTAATAAAAATCGCTTTTGAATCGGGATCATGTACATTATGCAGATCGAAGATGCTACATTATTTTTAGGGTATTTTTTTGTTTCTAAATGAATACGATGATAAAAGCTTGTCTTTTATTACAGTCATATTAACCGACAGATTGTATGTTAAAATTTCCTGATAGAAATAATTTGTATAGTAGACTATTATTGTTAAGGACCAATTCGTTATGCAAAGTTTCAAGCTGAAATTCAAAAATCCGTTTTTCTCTTATCATGAAATTCGTTTTAAAATGCAATATCATCGCAGCAATGAGTTAAAAGCACGAACTCATTTTAGAGTATCATTTAGATCTACATAGTCTCAACTCAACAGTGATTTAACAGTTGGAAAATCATCCTTGTTAATTGATGATGTTTAATCTTTATCATTTCATTAATGTTTGATTTTATATTATTTAGTTTTTTTTTTATGAGATGAACAAAAATCATATCCGAATTAGAGTGCTGCACGGGTGCACTTTTTTCCACCCGAAACCGAACCGGAGCTTTTTTCCGTATCCGAGTCCGAACCGACCTGACAACTCCGGACCCGAATAACTCCACCCGGTACCCGACCGGCAGCCGTTTATAAGTATAACACACCCGGCTACCATTATCACGTATAATCAATTTCAAACTTTATTTTATATGAAATATTATGCAATCTACTTAAATAAATAAACAAAAAAAACACTCATCTGAAATTACGTAAAAAAATGTGGAAACCTCGGATTTAAATCCGAGTGTTATGGGTACTTCAAAAAGTAAAAACACAGGAGCAATTTCCGTTTAAGTATCTTTGCAATAGGTGACTTAGCCATCTTTTTTTCTTAATGTTTTATATACCATTTTGTAGCCCGTGAAATTCTCTATCGAATGGTATGTAATAGCTGATGTTTTGTTTGATTATGAGAGAAAAAGTTTTTTTACGAAAGTCGGGATAGGTCAATAATCGTATAGAAAAACATAGGGAAAAATGACTTTTTTTGCGATAACTCAGCAATGACTCTACGAATCATTCTCATCTTGGAACTCGACGGAGACATTGATGAGACGATACTGTGTACAAAATTTCATCAAGATCGCACTCTCCTTTCAAAAGTTATCGTGTAAACGATCGAACACACTGACTGATTCTAGAGTGTACCACATTTTGAGTGCACAATAATTTTAAGTACCTTGAATCTTGAAAAATAACAAAACAAAAACTTTCTTTTCATTTCTACGATTTCCTCTTTGGTAAAAGTGATGATCCAATCGGCTTTAATTATTATCCCAATACCTTGACAATAGTAAATACCAGGTTGAAATAGTAAAAATATTTTGAAAAGTTGAGCTGTCACTAATTGCCGGTTCGGGTCCGGGTTTGATCTTACACTTGGACCCGAACCGAAATTTCTTTTTTAACCCGACGCCCCAACCGACCCGAAAAATTTTACCCGAACCCATGGTCCGGTTCGGTTTTGGGTACCCGACCGGGTTGCAGTACTCTAATCCGAATTGTCTTGTTATCCAAAGCAGGAGAAATTAATCTTCTAATAATCATTTTCTGATATATGTATACTGAATGACAATGGAAATTTTTCTTGTTGCTGTGTTTTGTTTTAGATTATAAATAGATCAATTATTACTTTTGTATCTGCTTACTTCCATATTCAAATATATTTAATGAGCTACTGTGCTTAATGCTGGAATCTATATAAAATTTGATTATTGAACAATCATTTTTTTTTTTTTAAATAAAATCTCGAAAATGATCGACATATAACCACTTTTGGATTTCATTAATATCGATAAATGAATCAACAATCTCTTGTTTTCTTTTTTGTTTTATTCTGCTAAAAACGAAAATTATAACACTATATTTTTTCAAAACTAATTACCAAAAGAAAAATTTGTAACGACAATTTTAGAATTTATTCACCAGGGATATAGAAAAATTTCACAAAAAAAAGGATGTGATTTATATTCAAGCATCATAATTAAAAGACGATTTGAGAAATCTTCTCTTGTCGCTGGACTTATTATTATTAATGTAGAAGATTAGATCAAGCAGAGAAAGCTATTTAGATAGTTCTTTGAAGAACTATTTAAATTCCTTGGAATTCATAATAAGAAATTGTTGATATTTATATTTAAATTCTTGAATAATTTTGAAATACTTCGTTGATTCTATTCGAAATGTTCATTATCATACATATTAATTTGTTTTATTCTGTCATTAAACTTGATTAATGTATTAAGTAGAGGATGCATAAGTGTTAATTCTGTATGAACAATACAAACGAAACTTTATCTTTTCAATAAGCATCCTAGCTGAGAATTCGTATAAGAAATATAATTGATGACATCTATTCGACATGTAATGTTATAATAAATATTGTGAAATGAACCAGATGAGTTCGAATGAAAAGAAATTTATCAAACACGAAATCTTGAAATATAATTGAAAAATTGATTGTTGAAACAAAAATTGATATTTTATTTTAAGTTGTTATATCCATGTTGTTAATGTGGATATCAGAAGCATCCACTCAATGACGATCTATAGCAAAAAAAAAACAAAAAGAGAATGACGCATTTTAAAAAAAAAAAAACAATTTTACTGGAATAAAAAAGACAAAATATTAATATTTTTTCTGTAATGTATTGATCATGAAATACAAATATGCTATTTCAGCCATTATGAATTAATTTTGTTCATTAACAATTATCATCAAAATATTATTAATTAAATATATCAAAGAAGCAATGCAAACAGACAAAAGGAAAAATTATTGCTCGTGTTTTTTTTTTCTTGGAATAGTTGCTGAACATCGTTTAAATGAGAATAAATCATTTTACGTGTATATATTTGATTCTTTTTTTTTTATGCTTCATTAAACATAACGAAATTTGAAGTTTTATTCGTGTTCTTTTTCTTTCGTACATTCATTTGTCTATTTTTTGTCGACATATTATACGAACGAATAATGAATACGTTTTGCGTCTAAAGATATAAAACAGACACGAAATGAAACAAGTTAAATGATATTGACAGTTTAATAGCTTCTATACGAAACATTTAGTTTTGTTTAATGAAGATGTATGAGGGTGTGGATGTATTCTTTCCTATAACATCCTTCAAATCAACTTACTATTACTTCAATAAATCGTGAACAATTTTTTCTATCGAACAAATCATATACTTATACATTAACGACATCTATAACATTTACTTTTTATAGAGATATTCTAATTAATTTTGATTCGTTATTGACAATAAACGAATGACTTTTAATGAATTTGTTTCCCTTCGATCGAACGAATGAAGCAAGTACAGAACAGAGCAAATGAGTTCAGTTTGTATTTCATATGATACCTATGTATATTGTTGCGTTTTTTTTTTATTTAAAAATCAATTGTTCATATTGTTTTAGCTTTATATTTTTTTTTATGTATATTTGTAGCATGTATATATACTCAAATAATGAAAGACATTGATATGAAGATTTTTTGTTTTTATTGTTAATATCAATTTGTTTGTTTTTTCTTCTCTAATTAATAAAATATTCAATGCAAAGTGATTCATTATCGCTCGATACGCTCAAAAATAAACTATTGTGCGCTGTTGATGCTGAATACAATGTAAAATTATTTTTATTTTTATTTTTTTTCAATAAAATCAAACATATCCTTTAGGTTATTAAAGCTGAAACTGTATTGGATATTATTTGTCAATTAGAAAAAATGGAAATTACAAAAGATCAATTACAAGTTTGTAGTAGTTCTATATTTTTTCGATCAATAATATTGTTTTATGTTTCATTTTTTGTTTTAGACAACTCGTCTTGGTCGTGAAATTAATACCATACGTCAAAAATTAGATAGTCAAAAGAAAAATTTATTACAAACTGAAAAATATTCCGAATTATTTATTGAAATAGCTCATAGAGCAAAAAAACTTCTTCGATCTTGGCAAGGTTTATTAAATATTTCTCAAACAAATTCATCATCAAATACAATATCAACAACAAATGGTGATACTAAACCTCGACTTATACTTAAAGTTAAATTAAATTCACCAATAGCAAAACGTAAACATGATTCTGATTCACATATTATAAATGGAACTAATATTAAACGAAAAAAAACTCAAGTTATACAAACACCTGTACCATTATCAACACCTATTTCACCTATCATATTAACAGAAACAAATGGTAGTTTACCACGTTTAAAAACTACACAACAATTATTAATGGAAATGCAAAAAAATGAACCTAATGTACTTTCAACACAAACATCAACTGTTCATGCTATATTACAAAAGAAAATTATTGATGAAAGTCTTCATGAACAAGTTAAACTTGATTATTCAGCTTTACATCATGGAAGAGATTTAAATAATATTAATACAAAGTTAGTTACTATTTTAATAAAGACAAAAACAAAAAACTTGATGAATTAAAGTTCTAATTTAATTAGTCAATGTTGTGACGAGCAGATAATTCAGATGACAGTCTATTGAATTCAATTCGAAAGATAATGCTAAAAGAAAACTCAATATTTGTTCAATCATTTTTTTTTAACTATCTTTGAAACGCTGAGCTTTTTTTCCCCCCTGTATATTATTTCACAGTTTTCCACTTGTATTCAAAAATATATCAGTAACTAAGAAAAGCAGGGACGGCGCGACCCCGGGGGGGGGGGGATAGGGGGGTCACCCCCTCCTGCTCCAGAAAATTTTGACTGGTGCTTTCTCCGATTTTGGGGAATTTACTACGATATTTTCTCC